CCCTCCCTGCCGGCAGGCCCTGCCTGCCTCATTCTCTCAGTATTCTCTCCAAAGATTGAATGTGAAGCTCCACCTCACCCACCCCCTCCTGCCCCTCAGCCCACTGGGCCAGGCAGGACCTGCCCCTCGGTCTCTCTCCCTCCTCAGAGTCCCCCAGTTGCCTTTGAGATGACGGAGACCCCTTCTGCAGGAGGCCCCTTGTCACTGGTGTGGGGCTGTTTGTAAGACACGCGGAGACCAGCACTCCCGGCCACTGGCCGCAAACACAGCAGGAAAGGCCGCTGCAGATTTTGTAAAGGTAGTTGTACGCTAGCGTCCCAGGCCCCCGAGAGGGCCGACGGCCGGACTTCACGTGGATTCCCGCTGTTCTCAGCTCCAGCTTCAAACCTTGGGGTCTCAAGAGGTCCCTGAGGAAGGCTTTTATTATCTAACCCCTCCTCCTCCCTTGTGCCTGACCTGAAGGCACGGTCCCACCCCCACCTGCTTCCTGACCCACCTGCACTGCCTCTCCCTACACAGCCTGCCCAGACCTGTGAACGGCTGCTTGTGGGCTGTGGGAGCGGTGAGGGGGCATCTCTGAGTGAAAAGGAAAAAGTGGGGTTGGTGGATAAAGTGGTCTCCGTTTGCAGGGTGGAGAGAATGTGTGTGTGCACGCGCACGCGTGACCCCCCAGCCAGCCTCAGGAAAGCCACTCCATCCTCTCTTCCACTAAGTTCTGCTCTGCAGGGACCTGCTTTCTTGGCCCACCTCCCACCTCTCAAGGCCTGACCAGAGAAGAGGTCTGTGTTGAGCCCAGCCCGTCCTGGGGCCTCGAGAGGTTTCTGAGTTTCTCCTGTACTTGGGGTCCAAGGGCCCGAGATAGGCACGCCATGGGAATCTTCACCTGTCAACTTCATCCCCGTCACCAGGTCATCAGGGCCCCAGTCTTCTCTTCAGAACCCTGGTCTGGGGGAGATGGTCAGCCACCTCCTGCGGTGCCGTCATGCCAAGGGAACAGACACCCCGTTTGTACAAACCATCTGCTCGAGCTGCCTCTTCCCTCCCCTCCTTCAGGGCGGTGGAGACAGGGAATCCTGGGGGAGAGCTACCAGTGTCGGCCCTATCTATCTAGATGCTATTTTTAGATTCCTCTGCTCCCTAGGAGCCTGTTTGGGGCAAAGAAATTGCAAGAACTTTTTTTAAGGGTCAGAGTTTTAAAAACAAGACATCCCTAGAAATTTTTGTGAATTGTTTGCACTCGTGCCTGTTTTAAATTAAACTGAGTGTTCAAAACCTCTGGGTTCCTGTTGTCTTTGGGAGTGGAGCCAGGCTGTCCTTGAGCTGGGCACCCTGTTGTGTCTGGTGTGGCCCACCCTCCTCCCCACCTGAGTCCCCATGAGTCACTCTGGTCCGCAGAACATCCAGCTTCCCTGGTGACCTGTGGGCCTGGGCCAAGGGCAGAGAAGGAGAGAAAGGAAGAGAAAAGTCCTTGGGACTGAGGGAGGATGGAAATAGAGGGCTCCGTCGCAGGGGACACTGGGACCGTGCTGCGTTTGCTGGTCCCACATGGTGGCTGATGACCAGCCTGTCCCTCCCCCTGTTGTTTCTCATTCCCTAAAACTGTCCAGAGGAAGTGGCCTGAAGCTGCTTCCAGTAAGAAAGCAAGTCTCTGTTTCGTTTCTCAGAACCGAGGGAAACAGGGTGGGGTTAAGAAAGCGGGAGCTGTGACTGGAAATGAAGAAACCTGGGTTCTAGTCCGAGGCACAGGGAGCTGGGTGACGTGACCTTTCAGCTTTGGGGGCCTGACAGTGGCACAGCCACAAAACGTAAAGGTCTGAGAGGCAGTCCAACCTGGGAGGGGCGCCGGTGCAAGTCCAGAGACCTGAGGACGACGGGCACTTGTCTGCCTGAGATCCAGAGCGGGCTCAAGGCGGGGCCTGGATGACAGCATCAAGACCCAATTGGGAGTGTGGTCTCTCAGTCATGTTCGACTTTAAGGGGCCAGCAGATGGCACAGCGGTTATGTGGCTGAACTCCCACATGGCTGACTGCGGTTCAAGTCACAGACTGTGTGGCTTGAAAATCACTCTAGGCACAGGTGTGTGCATGCCCAACATCCCAGGAGGAGAAGGGATGGCAGCTTGGCCATCCCCCTGGGGGGAGGTGATTTCTCATTTTCCCTCTCACTGTCTCTATTGCTTTCTTTCTCTGATGAGGACATGTGCCCTAAAGCAAAAACATCTTTAAAAAGAATGAAGTAAGCCTTAAAAATGATCTTTGGAGATAGCCCTGTAGCCTAGTGGTTGAGGAGCAGGAGCCCACCTGATCGACCACAGTCTGAGTCCTAGCCCTAGCAGCTTAAAAAACACGGGGAGCCAGCAGGTGGCATGGTGGTTAAGGCGTTGGAATTCCCACATGGTCGACCACAGTTCGAGTCCCGGGCCTGGCGGCTTGCTTTCTCATTTCCCTTCTGTGTGTCTGTCTTTCTCTGGTCAAATGAAAATAAATGAATGAATTTTAAAAATAATAAAAAGAACTGATAAGGAAAAAAAAAAACACGTTGGGGGGCCAGCAGGTGGCATGGTGGTTAAGGCACTGGAATTCCCACATGGCCAACCACGGTTCGAGTCCCAGACCTGGCGGGTTGCTTTCTCACTTTCCCTCTCTCTGTCTTTCTCTGGCAAAACTCATGTGAAATAATAGTAATAAATAAATAAAATAATTCTTTAAAAACAAAACAAAACACGTTGGGCATGTGTTTGTGCATGTTCCAAACCCAGACAGGACGGAAGAGGAGGCATCATGGTATGGTTTTCTGTCTCTCTCTGTCTCCAATAAGCACATGTGCTCACTGGCAATTTTAATTTTCTTTCATTTTTTGGAGAGGTTTTTGCTATTGGGCGCGTGCGCTCGCCAGACAGAGAGAGACAGAGAAAAAGAAAGCGAGAAATCGCCCCCCAGGGGGTCTGGCCACACCACAATCTCTTCTCCATTCTCCTCCAGGGATCTTGGGCACGCACGCACACGCGCCCGGCAGCTCACTGGCAATTTTTAAAAATTCTCTCCCAACATCTATCTCCAACACTAATTCTAGCACTTCCTTTCTGAGCTCTGCCCCCAGCCCAGGCCTCATGGAAACCCTTAGCCAGGAGTAAGGGACCACGTGGACCTGCCCCCCACTGTGCTGGCACCCAGGCTGATGCCCCGGTCCTCCAGTCCCAGCCCCATTAGCTCATCGGAAGCAGCACCTGTCGTACCTGCAGGAGCCAGTCTGGAGGGGGGCTAAGAAGGCAGTGCCCTCCACAGGAAACAAGAGCGTCCTTCCCGCTTTCCGAGAGGCGCCCAGAGTCAGGCGTGGTTGGTAAGGCAAAGAGAGGCCAGTTCTTGCAAAGGGTAATACTGGGTTTATTAACTATTGGTTTTGCATTCTGTGTCCTTCCACCACGCAGGATCACTTCAAAAGGGTGCGCGTGTGTCCTTTAGCCTCACAAACCAGTTCTGAGCTTGCACTTAGCATACCCAGCTCCAGCAGCCTCTTCACAATGACGAAAGCAACAAGAATTGGCAAAGCAAAGTACTTAGAAAAGTTTCCTCCAAGGGGGAGAGAGTTAAAGAGGACCCCAGCCTTCAACACCCTGGGGCTGACAATGAGAGGAAGTTCAGGGGAACGAAACGTGAACCAACTGTGGAAGTGCGAAGAGGGGCCTCTGAGAAGGCCCTGTGAGGACGGCGAGGCAGGCAGACTCACAGTCGGGTTCAGACAGGAAAGATCTGCCATTGTTGGTTTAGAAATCTCACTTTCAACCACCAAGCTCTGGGCAGCTCCACAGAGAGGAGCCCTCCTGGTTGTTTACTCAGTACAGAGGGCCCAAGGTGACATTCAACCAGAAAGCCACGGGTCAGCAGCCCTGGAGAGATGCCAACACCTCTGATACCATGCGCACCGGCCCTCACGCTGTAAGCCCAAACACCTGTATTCTTACACCATTACAAACTTCAGCAAACTGAGCACAGTTGGAAAAGGAAGGAGCAAGCAAGGATCAGAAAAAAGCAGTTTGCACCGGGGGTGTCCAATGGGCTTGCACCCCACTCCAGACCCTCTTCCTCAGGCTTCTCAGGAAGCGGGTGGGGGACAGCTCAAAAACAAAAGCGAAAATCATCAGAAGGAAACAGTGCATAACCGCCAGGTCCCAAGGTTCAGATCATCCTAAGGGAAGGATGGGCAGCTCGTTTTTTTTTGGAAGAGCGCAGGAACTCTCAGGGCAGGGAGCCTTAATTTAGAGAATTAAGTCCGGGTCCCTTCATGAAGGGTCTGGGCTCCTGCTACTTCCAAAGCGAGATTTTTGTGCAGTGTCCCTCACTTCACTGCTGTGAAGTGACTTCAAGTATCCGGATTTAGTATTCTTCAAGAGGACGAGTGTTCCATGGGTAAATGCATAGAGGGAGAAGTCACCATGAGCCCAAATAAGACAAGTCTGGGCGCTGAGCTGGCGCGCAGCGGGGAGAGCGCCGCGCTGCCACCAGGGGGCACCAGAGATCGTATTCAGGGTGAAGGCCGGCGCGGCCTCGCTGATTGGGGGAGGGAGGGAGGCGTGGAAGGATTAGGGAAGTGGCTGACACCTGCGCCCGGCCCGCTGGTGACCTTCCACTCCTCCTCCCCCAGACCCAATTTCTCAGCCCGGTCATTCTTGCTCTGGGGAGTTCCCTAGGAGCTACTGGTGAAAAACCTTTCATTCTGCAAAGACGAATAGAAAGACGTCTTGAAAAGACCCCATCGCAGGCAGGCGGGACCCTCGGGGTACACAGGAACCCCATCGGCCACCCCTCCGCAGACTGGGCGCGCTGACACTTGGGCTAGCGCTTCCTCCGGGTCCTAGCTCCGCGATCCGCCAGACCCTCGAACCCTTCACCCCCGCCCTCTCGCCAGACACATACCAAGACAAGGAGGACGGGGGCGGGGAGGGAGGAGACAAAGGACCGGCCGGGAAAGGGCCTTTAACCACCTCTCCGCGGTCGCCTCTGACTCACTAATCTGCCCAGTAATAAAGATGGGCCGGGCCTGCGTCCCACGCGGTGGGGCAGAGGCAGGGGTCCTTGGTCTCGACCTCTAGCGTCCATCATCCGCCTTGCCCTCCATTAACGGCCCAGCGAGAAGCAGGAGCCGTTTAACAGGCCCCTTCCAGCTCTCGGCGGAGTTTGATGTAATTTAAATCTGGACCTGCGGCTTGTGTGGGCTCCCGACTCCCGCGCGCCGCCGTTTAACGTGGCAAATACTTCAGTCAATTATCCCCCTCGCGGAGCTTCTATTTAAAGAGATATTGTCAGGTTCTTAAGCCTTGGATCAGACCTGCTGCTTTCTGCTTCATACACAAAGCCTTAAAACACGAGTTCTGGGAGGATTGGAAGAAATACAATTAAGCACTGCCTTCGCAACCGTTCCACCCTGCGGGAGCACCCACGTGCGGGACAGGGAGTGGGGAGGCGGTGGGGGCGAGAAGTGCTAAGTCCTTTCCATTTCAGGCCTGTGAGTGAGTGGAAATAAAGCTGGACAAGAGGGGTGAGGCGCTGAACCTCAAGAATAGAATTCAAATGATTCTGAGCTGACGAGCAGGTTGTTGGCTCAGGAGCCCCAAGCTGGGCTGCAAAGAGGTTGCCTGGAGAAGTCACCCCACATTGTCAAGTTGAATCCTGGGTCTGCCTGGGGCAGAGGCAGAAGGAGCTGGGGTTACCCAGAAACTGGTTCAAAGAACAACTAGTATTCAACTTTGGAGGCTCTGCCATCCCCAAAACATGCTTTCATTATCTTGAGGCAGGAGTTTCTACCCCACCAAATGAATTCTTCCAAATCAACCCTCCAGGGGTCTCTCCATGCTCCCTTTGTCCCACACTTTGGGAGAGGGGGACTTAGGTGCTCTGTGGCACTACCATCAGCATCGCTAAGCAGAGGGGGAGTGGGCTGGGCTTTTGTTCTCCAAGGTCGGATCTGTTTTGCTTGGCTTTCAGGTGTTGGGGAACCCAGCGAGGGCAGGGGAACCTGGCCGGAACCTGGGCAGACTCAGAACTGAGCCTTAGGACAGGAGGAGGAGAGGATCCACCTTCCAGTCTGGGAGGCTCTCGCCTATACAACCAGGCTTTACCTTCCAGGGAAAGGCAAACTGAGACCTAGGCAGGAAATACAAAGCAGAACAAAAAAGATGGGGTCCCTTTCTTATTTCTGGGTAAAGGTCACATTTTGGCAGCAGAGACAGGTTCTGAGATAGGGGACAGTACCGACTGCCAAGAATTCTTGGGACCTGGAAAAACGAAGAAATATAGTGGGGCAAAGATGGGGCTGGGACGGGGAGCAAGGCCTGGGCCTCGGCGCTGTTTACCGCTGAGCGTGCAGCACCACTGCCTCCGTGCCCGTCTGCCAAGACTTTGGCTCAGGCACCGAGAGAGGCAGAGCGTTGGCCTCTGACTCTGGGCCACTCTCGGATCCTGGCCCTTCTCCGACCAGACTGGGGATGTCTGGGGCTGTGGAGCGTCGGCGCAAACCCAGGCGGCCGGAACCCGGGCCGCCCTCCGGGTGGGGGCTAAGGCCAATGGGGGCTTGCACTAAGCTTGGGGGCGCTCCCTCCAGCACCTCCTGTGAACGCCACCGCCCAGTCCCCGAAGACTGGGGCGAGTTTGGTCGGGCCATCAGGGCCCCCGCCCTGAGGCGAACCGCCTCTTCTTCGGTCACGGCACCCAGAGCCAGGCTCATGCTCCGACCCAGCTCTGGCCGCTCGTTGCCCTGCGCCCGGTGCCGGCCCGAACCCTTGCCCGCTGAGCCAGCCTCGCCGCCGTGGCCCTGGCCGCCCGTCGCCCCGCG